GCAGCTAATTGTGTTGAGTAATAAACCACGCCCGCAATTCGACTAATTTCCAAAACATACAGTTTTCACTTAAGTACACTTAACATAAATTAACCGGAAATCATTACATTTCCTTAAAAATAATTTCAAATTGCATTATAGCAGCCAGCAGCCAGCAGCTGCAGTGGCATTGCTATGAAATGGAGCTGTGCCTGGAGCAGAGTCTGGGTATGGGATTGGAAATGGGCATGGGAATGGGAATGGGATTGGGCCTGGGTCTGATTATGGACCAGGACATACACAAGTGGTAATTGCCATTAACGCGAAATAATTTTTGAAAAGGCAATAAGAACGACAATTTGCAACACGCATGCACGTCCATGACACAAATTGCAGGACAATCATCAGGAGCCGTTGCTGTCGACGTCGACGTCGGCGTTGACGCTGACGCTGACGTTGACGTCAGCGCTGGCAGCGACGTCTGTGGCAGTTGCAGGCCCCTCCATTAGCGAAATAGCATTGGATGCATAAAATGCACTGCGAAAAGGACCAACAAGGATATGAAACGGGTCGGCGTCGAGGCCACTCAAATCCACTCAAATGAATTTGTATTTGTATTTTGTTTGTGTGTTGTATTTGTTTTAGGAATAATTTCTGCGCGTCGAGGCAATCAAAATTGTTGACCAAATGGCTGGGGAGTTCGATTGGGAGTTCAAACTGTAGGTGGGGTGTGGAGGGGGACGGTGGGAGGTGGGGATTGTATAGCGGGTGGTGGGCTATGTATTTTTATGCGGTAATCAACATTGGATTGTGTCGGATGTTTTGAGTGGTGATGTGTGTGGTTGCAGTGTGGATATGGCGGTCACATCGCTGAGTCTCATTCAATATCACTACTCCTCCCCCACACCCCTCTCCCTACGCAGCCACCCTCAGCCAGCTACCCAAACCACTCAAAAAATAACATACCACACAGCCTGACATTTTGCGTGGCTTTGGCAATTTTAGCGAAAATTTTCCAAATGTTTTTCAACGCCTCTTAATTGGCTGCATCAATTTAGCTGGGTCAAGAGAGGGAGCGAGATGGTTCTCTATGGCATTAATAGGGGCGGAGAGGGGCCATTGTGTGGTTGTGAGTGTGTGTGTGTGTGGGGGTGTGTGTGTGTGTGTGTGTGTAGTGGACATATGGTTGCTGCGCTTATGACAAAGTTGTAATACGCTCTGAAATTGGTTTAGTATGACTATAATGCAGATGACATTTTAAATAAATGAGTAAATAAACTTATTAGCGATTCTGTGGAGTTCTATAAACTGATTTCATAGTATTTATCGGTGGATAAGGGTCTGTTCTGTTGCATATTTAAATTGAATAATGTTATGCGAATTTCTATTATGGGATACAAAGAGTAAAACAAGAAGTTATGCTTAACAATAAGAGGGATGATCTATGTGTAAGAAAATATTATGTGCGCTTCACTCCTTCTCTGACAGTTGTCTTTTACAATATTGTTAGGAGTTTTATTTGAATATTGATTCTGTACTTTTTGTATTACAGAAGATGCTATTGGAAAGTATAAAGTGTACTAGATAACTAGTTTTGGAAATATTAATATTATTAAGCCCGAATATTTGCTACCGGTCTTCGATTATCTGGTATTACCCAAATAGTCTGCCATCTATGTCGTCACAGACTAAAAGTGCCGAGGGGTAAGTGCAAGCAATGGAAATATGTATGTATGTATGTATGTAAATGCGAGTGGAGGGGTGGTTATGAGAGGATGCACCGGCGTTTGAATGAAGCGTTCGGATTTTAGAGAGTGGCCGACACTGAGATGAAGCTGCAAGTCGGACGCTTGAAAGTTTAGAGCCAGCGGCGGCTGGCGGGTTGCAATGCCAAAAAGGGGCGGGGTGGCATTTGGCAGACAAGCAGCAGCAAGGCAGCAACAATGGCAACAGCGACGAGAAAAATATCGAAACAGCAACGATAACAACGAGCAACGACAGCAACAAAAACAACAACAACAACAATTGAAAAGAAGGCAGCGACCAGCATAAGCTCAAGTGGCAGCAGAGAAAGAAGAAGCAAAAGCAGCAACAGCCAACGAATCAACAGCAGCAGCAGCAGCAGCAGCAGTAGGAACAATGAGAGACGACAACGACGACGACGACGATGACGTTGAGCAGGAGGAGTAGCAGCAGCAGCAGCAGCAGCAGCAAAATCAGCAGCAGCAGCAGAAGACGAAAAAGTCAACGAAACGAGACAACGACAACAACTTCATGTGTATGGATTTTTTTCCAACTGCGTCTTCTTCTTTGTTCGTACTCGATGCTGATGCTGCTGATGCTGCTGCTGATGCTGCTGATGCTGCTGCTGCTGTTGTTGTGCACATTTTTTGATGGACAGAACAATGAGAAAAGGGGTGGAATCGGCAACCAGCTCACAGCACTAATACCAACGCACAATATCTACGCCATGCCAGTGTATTCGTGTGTGTGTGTGTGTGTGTGTGTGTGTGTGTGTCGATATGAATTTCGATTTGCATTTTACGAGCACACTGAGCAATACGGCAACAGCAAAACAGAATCGACGAAAATGTCGACCGAGGGCAACATAAAAATTGATGGATTCTTCTTCAATGCGTCCACCACAATAACAATAACAACAGCAGCACCACCACCACCACCACCAGCAACAACAACAACAACAACAACTACCAAAGCCCCAACAAAATGGGAATCGGCCCCAACACGCCCGAACAGAGTTGGAGTGCAGCTCTTCTTTTTTTTTTTTGCAATTCGCTTAACTGCTGGCGCAGCATAGATCACACGAATAGAAACACTTGTGTTTAATGAATGAAAAACGTTTTTATTAAAATTAATATTTTTTGAATGCATTTTTTAAATATAATATATAATAAATAATGGCATTTACTAAGTAATAAGAAATGAATTTTTCTTTTACTACAACTTGATTGTTTAATAGGTCTACTTCCATAAGTTATACATAAGTATTTATGTCAGGCTTTCGATAGGACTTATCGATTAAATTTTCTGAAAATTAGTACATTTTATCATATGAAAAATTTTTTGTTAATAACTGGTTAAGTTTTTAATTACATACATTATTATATTTAAAGCGGAGTATACAATAAGCAACACAAAAGACATATTTCAATTGTAAGTAGAGGTCGCCAAACAATGAACAATTCAATACTTTAATAAGTCATACAAATAAACAAATGCTTAAATAAAATGAAAAAGCAGCATTAAAATAATTCAGCTGCCTGGGGTTACTAAATTAGCTCACAGGCTTGTCATAGACAGCGTGTTTAGTTTGTTTTTAATATTGCTAGCACGTAATATATAATCCAATAGTTATTTGTGTAGATTTGTGCGTTTTCCATAGAACTGTGTCTACAATTCTCTCCCGCAATTTAGGTGACAGTTTGCAGGTGCATCTATTGAATTGACGTTAATTGTTTGGTGAACATCTCGCTGGATGCTGATGTTTCTTCTTCTTTTGCTTTCGCAGCTCACTTTGTGCGCTCGTATTGGTGTATATCGTTTTGTGCTACTGTGTGTGTGTTCTGTGTGTGTGTCCTGTGTGTGTGTGTGTGTTGTGTATGTGTGTGTATGTTTGTGTGCTGTGAGTTTTGTTCAAGCGCATTGAGCTGTCAACTTCATGTCTCAGCAACATTTCGTTTTCGTTTGTCTTGCTGTTGTTGCTGTTGCTGCTGTTGTTGGTGCTGCTGCTGCTTGGCTTTGTTGTTGATGGAATCTGGCAACACGAAGCAGAAGCAGCAACAGCAACAGCATCAGCAGCAGCAGCAGCGGCAGTCAGAAGAAGTCAGCAGAGCGAATGCTGATGTTGGCTGGTAGTCAACTACCAATCAGGTCGGTTGCCGGTTGCTTCTGCCCCTTGCCAAAGGATTTCACGTGCACTTCACAAACACATACACACACACACACACATACATACATACTGACACATTCACAAAATGGCAGACGTCTTGCTCAAGTGCCCGGACTACAACCTGTATCTGTATCTACATTTGTATCTGTGTCTCTGTCTCTCGCACACACACACACACACACGCATACGAATCGATCCGCTTAATTGAGTCACTTGAATATGCAATTTTTCAAATGATGCACTTGGTCCGCTAATGAAAAATCGACCACATCACAACATCGTTAAGAGCACCAGCGATATGGAGGGCTCAACCGTCAGACCGGGTCATGATACGATTTAATTAGGAGTTTCCACGCGCAATTAATCTTGAGCCTCTTAGGGCACCACTTGAAACTGATGCACAGAGCTATAAGTTCAACGTGTACACGAGCTGCATAAATTCAAAAGATTTGTAATTTTATTGTAATAATTTCTTCTTGAAAAACGAATAATTTGTTGTTTACAATTCTTAAAAAAACGTTGAAAGGCAGTTGTTGAAGAAAGTCTGAAAAGTAGGCCTGAAAACAATTATTCATGTTGCAAAAATCAGTGCTAGTTTTCAAAAATGATATCATTGGGCTTAGTTAGTTACAGTTTAATTGATTTATAATTTGATTAATTATTCAAGATTAATAATTAGTAAGAAGTACTCAAAATGAAGAGTGCAGTAAGCAATTAGTGTTAGGATTGCTCAAGATCTGGATATAAATTTCATGAATTTCTTTCGACTTTTCATGACAATGTGCCGCATAAACGCAGCTAGTGATGCAAACGCCTCCGTCTTCATACGGGTACCTGTTTCTCCCTCATTGCGAGTGCCACTCAAACAAAATTTCACTTTGCTCGCTCCATCTCTTTTTCTCACGTTATTCTGCTGGCTAACATCTGACATTTCAATTATTTGAAGGAGAGAAGAGAAAATAAGGAAAAAATGAAAGACAAACACATGTTGGACCTTTCCTTCGTCTACTGCTATGACAGAGACGAAGATGAAGACGAAGACATTGTTAGATTAATGCGCCAATTGTTCCCTTCATCATTTCCCATTTTCATTTCCATTTCCCCACTTCAGAGTCTGTCGCTTGAATGCCCGCCCGCCCGCGCCGTTCAGCGTCCGATAATAATGCAATTACTATTTGAAAAATGATGTCTGACAGTTTTGAATTTGTCATGGTATTTATCAAAGTCGTCTCAGCCGCTCCAAAGCCGTTCGTGCCATGTGCAGCAGACTGGTCCAGTGCAAGCTGAGGGAACCTGGAGCGTAGCTGGTGCGCCTCCATATGCTGCACGTTCATGGGAAGTAAAAAATTAACATGTCACTTTCATCGCAGGTAAATCAGTTTTTCTTTTATGGCTGAAGGATTTATCCATGTGCATCTTTTGGTTTCGTCTCCATCTTCAAGGTTAAACCTGAACGGGGTACAAGACTTTTGATATCAACGCTACAAAAGACTTATTAATAGCTCTATTAATTTAGCGATAAGAGCAACATCTTTTTCAACTCTCTGTCGAGCAGCTTTAATTCAGTTGTATAAAGGATTGGTACAAACAACGATGAAACGACGACGACGAAGCGGGTCATTTGTTAAACTACAGCAACTGCTGTTTCCCTCTTTGTCCTGATTATTTCAGAACGAAAATGGCTTCGTTTTTTTTGTATTAAGAAGCTGGAGCACAGTCGTAAAAAATGGCAAGTCTTAGTTCAAATTTTCAATGTGTTTGCAAAGAGCTAAAACTGATTTTGTAAAGTAAAGATATCTAGATTAATGCTGCATTTAAATCTGGGTACCTCATTAACAATAAAAATAAAATCTTAGTTCTATCAGAAATGAATGCTTCATTTAAATCTGGAAACATAATATTCTGTAAAAATTCATTGCTGTATTCTGTCATAGAATATAATCAAGTTTTTGAATAAATTGATTTTCGAATATAAATTCATTATAAATTGTACCTTATAATACCCACTGGCAATTAAAATGGGTTTTTTCATAATACTTGCCCTAACTCCCAACTGAGTAATGCAAATGGCAGGCTAGAAAAACAAAAAAGAAAAAAACCTGAAATTTATTGATGCAATTTGAATGACGTGAAATATGAATATTTTTCCAAATGCAACAACAGCAACAATAGTAATAACAACAAGAACAGCCGTGGCAGAAACAATGCAAAGCCCCATAACGTGCAACATCATCTAAAAACCTGTGACGCAATAAAATAGAATTAATGGAACCGGAATTATGCGACTGATGTGACCCGCTGTAAATGGCTAACGGGGGGGAGGGAGGAGGGGCACGACTAATGCTAGCAACAGGACCCGGCTAAATACGTCCGTTAGCATTGTCTATGTGTGTCTGTGTGAGTGTGTGTGTGTGTCTGTCTGCCGCATCTAATATTAATAAATATCTTCAATCTGCTGTCAGTGAGTGCAAAATAGTTATTGCGCGATATGCAATTAAAATATAGCTAAAAACGCAATGAGAAAAAAGTCATCAGGCTAGCGGGCGGTAATGCAGTGTGTGGTGGGGAAGGGACGGGGGGAGGAGAGCGCAAATACCCCTGACAGGTAATAAAAGTAATTTATGCGCGCTAAGGGTTGTAAATGCGACGCCAGGACGACGGCAGGACATACCGACTGGCAGCTCGTTTATGCTGAATGACGTTGACACCGACTGTGGCAGCAGCCAGGGCAGCAGCAGTCTCTGTTACCAGTGGCAAGTAGCAGCAACAAATACACATGCACACACATTCTATAATTCATATTCGCTATCAAAGATCACAAATCAAATTATTATGCCATGTGATGGCCACACACACAGACATATACAGACACACACACACACACACACACACACACATAGAGCATTGGAGACAGCAACCACCAGAAAATGGCTAACGAAAAAAACTGCAAAAATAAATACGAAAGATCTCGTTACAACGAATATTATTTACCCTAAATTAATAGAATTATAGTAACAAAGTCGAAATCGAATCGAATTGAAAAGTCTTAAATTAATTATTATAATTTAAAAATTGCAAGATTCGTTGAAAAGTCTCAGATATATCTTAGATAGATTATAGACTCTTTCAGTATTTTATTTAAGGCATTTTGTACGCCATTTGAAATTGCTTCTTAAACAATCTTAACTGAAGTGAGAAAAAAATTAATTTAAATTATCCACAACTGTGAAAAAGTTATCTCTCTAACAAGTGTAATGTTTTTATTGAAATTTATTAAAAACACAATCTTTAAGACGTATTTTCTCATAATATAGATGTGTATATACTTGATAAAAAATGTGTAACAAAAAGCAAGTAGAACAATTTGATTTAAAACGAAATTCATTAAAATTATAATCTACTTCGTATGTTTTCATAAGACAAAATTGAAATTTCGACAAGCATTTTCCTTTAAAGTGCAATTTATAGATGAAAACAGGCTTCATACGATCGACCTAATTGATCTTAAAGTAAGAAAATAGTAAAGAAAATCAACTACAGAACTCTACTTAATTTTTTGTTATCCACATCTATATTTACATAATTTATATTTATATTATAAACTAAAGTGGTATTTAAAACAGTCTTGTATATTTTTTAGCTGTCAATAAGCTGCGGAGTCAACCAGAAAACGATGGGATTCAAGCTTGACAACTGCCTAAATACTCTGCACAACTGAAGTTAATGTATGTGTGTGTGTGTGTGTGTGTGTGTGTGTGTGTGTGTGTGTGTGTGTGAGTGTGTGTGCGTGTGTATCTTTGTATATGCTTTAAATGCCAAATGCGGAATGGTGCTCATTTGCGCCCTAGGAAGGCTGGTTGAGCAAAAAGCCGTGAAAATTACAAATATTAGACGTAGACGTCGCCGAGGGCAAAGACCCGTCAAGTTGCGATGTCTGCCAACGCCAATGCAGAAGGATAGCACACATAGAGTAAAGGATATTATTTTTATGATATCTGTGTCCAATCTCTTGATTTATTCGGCCTCACGAATCCGAATTATTTTATTTGCCGACTGCCGAGTTGCCGAGCTGCCATTTTGTTTTGGCCTATGTCCTTTGGCGTCCTTTTTGCGTTTAATTTCATACAATTGAGTGATTTATTCGTGTCACAAAATAAAAAAGAAATATGACTCGAATCCTCAACCGAAATAAGGGTCGTTCTCTCGCCTTTCGCCTTTCGCATTTCGTTTTTCGTTTTTCGATGCTGCCTGCCAGTCAAAGAACTTGCTCAGAACACCCAAAGCGCTTCTCGATGGTGGTTGGAAATGACTTTTTTGTTCCCGTTGCTGTTGTTGTTGCTGTTGTTGCCTTTTTCGTCGCTTCGGTGGCGAAAGTCGAACTCAGCCCGCACATCCTGCTGCCCGTCCTCGGCCGTTGCCCTGCCCCCCTCGACTTGAGCAGACTTCTGACTGCAGACTTGGTGGTTCGGGGTTCGTCTTGACTGACTGACTGACAGACTGTCAGGTCGTCGTTGTTACTCGTACTCTTCGTCGTTTTCCTCGTCGGCCATGATGGAATGGAAATGCTGTGTCTGTGTGTGTGTGTGTTTGGCGTGGGGTTGCTGGGATGGCTGTCCAATTTGATGGCTTCTCTTTCCCACTTGTGCGATTCAAAAGAAAACTCTGCTAAGTGCTCGCTGCTTGTGTGTATGTGTGTATATGTGTGTGTAAGTGGTGGCAATTTTCCACGAGCTGATGCGGGTTTTTCATTAAAAAGTTTCTGCGTTAATTTTGACGAAAGAAAACGATTCTTGAACAATGCTTTTGTGGAACTGGTCAACTTGGGAGTTTCGATTATCTACTTGATGTGAATTTAGAAAATGGAAACATTGAAAATTTCGAAGACAATTCATGCTTGCAACATTCCTTAAGTAGTAAAAGAATAAACTTGAAGTCATTTGAGTAATTCACTATGTTTGCAAACTTTATCAAATTGAAAAGAATATAAATATGCACATTCATAAATATTGTCTTATACAGAGAACAAAAATTATATATTTAATCAACAAAAACATGAATATATATATAAAATTACCTATAGATATTTCCATATTCAATCTCCCTCGCTGATATGCACATATTAAATACAATTTGTAATTTTTTTGAATGTTTCAAATCCCCCCCGTCAACGGCGCTCAGCATCAACTGATTAAAGACGTATAATTAAAGTGTCCAGCTCGGGCTGTCAGCGGCCGACTAGAAATACCAAAAATTATGACTAATAACTTAAAATTACAACAAATTAAAAGAGCAGATGCGACGAATTTATAAAACAAGTCGCTGCGGCCAAATAAATAGATGAAATTCTATGTGGGAATGTGGAGAGCCTTTAAAAAAAAAATAATAGAAAAAACGCCGCCAAGGGTAAAAGTCTCATGGCCAGAAAACCATAAATTTGATAATTGACTTTCGAAAAGGAAAAACCATGGCTTACATAATCGAAGAAACGCATAAATCTCTGTGACCCCGAAAGAGAACAAACCAGTCACTCACTCTCAGTGGCCAGGCGAGAATGAGAACGAGCACGAGATCGAGAATAGCGAGTAGGAGAACGCAGCGGAAATGTGCGTCATAAAAATATTAAATATTTTTAGAAAAAAAAAAAAATAAAAATAAGAAAGATCAAAATTCGTTTTCTGGAGTGCGTTCAGATAAAAGGCGGCTGTCGTCCAAGTCGGAGAGTTTTTCGTTCCAGTGCATTAGACTTCGATGGCATTTCAATAGCCTGCCAAGGCCATAAATCTGATTAGCTCTCGCTCCCTTTCTCTCTCTCTCTCTCTCTCTCTCTCCATGGCTCTCTCTCTTTCTTTCTCCCGCTCACCATCATTATCATCATCATAATTTTCATATTTCCACATGGCGCACTGTTGCAGCTGCGCGCCTGCGCAAAAGTATCTGACGGATACTGTGCGCTGGCTGCGATCCGTTTTCGTTCTGCCAAATTAGCCGACGAGTGTTTTGTGCGAGTAGTCGGTGATTTATGTTGTCCTTGTGTTTTGTTGTCAACTGTTAAACGGTGTCGGAGACAGTGTCCTTTTCTATTTTCTGCTTTGGTATTTCGTAAATTTGCCTAATTTACTGCAGCAGTTGCTGCCTGCTGCGGGATGCGGCCGGGGGTTCGCCACCCGGCGACTTGTACGCCAAGTCAAAAGTCCCTCTCACAGTCACAGTCACAGTCACTTTCTTGCTTTCCTGCTCACAAACGAACTGAATTTCCACATTTTCCAAATGCATATATGTTGCCCAAAAATTATGAACTCCTTTCAATTCCATGTTTCATTTTCATTGGAACTTCAAGCCATCCATCCGTCGGCCCGGTTCGCTTGTAAATCACTCAATTTTTGACATTTCCTTCTATTTCTTTTCTATTTTATTTTTTAAATTGCGTGACATTGTTTTATTGCCTGCATGTGCGAGAGAGAGAGAGAGAGAGAGAGAGAGAGCTGTTTAGTTGGTGATGCGGGGTGTGCGAGTGTTGGTTGTTCGTCATGGAGGCCATTTCATTAGTTGAAGAACACACATACAACGCCATCTTGGATCATCGTCGGTCTCTATCAATACGAGATTCCGATACCCTGGCTCCCAAATTCATGGAGGCCACAGAACTACGCCGCTGGCACTTCGAGGTGGATTTCTACTGTCAAAATTTGATTAGTTGCTTTTGATTTTGTTGTTTTGTCTGCTCAT